TGGGAAACCAATTATGTATATAGAAACGACAATTGGTATTCGTTTTATACGGACCTTTTCTACAACTGAAATGTAACAAACAAAATTCAATAGCCTTAATAGAATATTTTTTCCGTTTCACCAATTCAATATTACCATTGCAATGAGGATCGGATGAATGGAAAAAAATATTACATTAGGGAGATTGATCGGTGGAACGTACGGTCTTAATGGGAAGCCTCCAATACTTTTTTTGTTTTATAACAGAAGGGGGCAAACGAGCAGCGGGAACACCGAGGTGTTCAACGACGCCCATGGACATCAGCAATACCAGAGGAATCGCAGATGCGTTGATTAATTATTAAAGACATCTTTCAAATTGTACCTGACCTTGTAAAAGACGTACGTGGTATTTGATGAGTTATTTCTTTGGTTAATTACTTGACTATTCCTGTGTTTGTGATAAAGGTTAACGCATCGATGACAAACATATAGATTTTTTATTTATAGAAATAGTACGGACAGAATAAGTGACTCACTTGGGTTTCTGTATGCTAACGCAGACATCAAAGTCGTCTTCCCGGCACCGCTGAAAAAAAACATTAATTGATAAAAATTACTTTTTTTTCTAATAACATCGTAGGTATGAATAATTTCTTCATTCTATGTGCCTGTAATATTTTTTACATATTTATCTCAATTAGGGAATAAAATCTTGGATTTCTCGTTAATCTCTTTAAGATCTTTTAAGCATATTACTTCTCATTTATAAACTATTGTGAATATAAAGTTTACTAACTATCGCTCACGACTCCGTCCGCAAGGAATTAAAAAAAAACTAATTAGTAGCTTATGTGTTCTTACAGACTGTTCTACATCTAAGCGAAATTTCAGCAAGATCCGTGCAGCCCTTCTGGATATACCTTCAAACAAACATCCGTTCATCCAAACATTCGCATTTATAATATTAGTAAGATAATTATTTTTAATAAAACTACTTCTAATTAAAGAGAACGTTGAATCCATATGATGTAATAATGTCAGAGGAAGTTCAAATGTCATTGTTATCTTTTTGGTTTTAATTACAAGTTGTTAACAGTTATTCATAAGAATTGCGAGCCTATTATGTTTGATGCACAATCAATTAAACTGTTGTGTACTTATGATAACATAACTTTCTACAAATGCTATTTCTTTTCGAATACAACAAACACTGAATATTGTTCTTGTTACTTTAGGTTTCTATTGCTAAGAAAATATGTTACTATAACGTACAATCAGCTGATTCGGTAGTGCAAACTCATGGTTAGTGCAACTTATCATCTTCAAGCTTCCCTTGTCTTTACGGAGGGCAGACACGATGATTACTCTATACCTATCGGCTGACATATCTGATTTTTTTACGCATATCCTCTTTCACATAATCTTCAATTTATCTTTTTGCCTATTGAATATCTTTATTTTTTGATTATGTGACCCTAGAATCGTAATCTGTTTAATGCTCATGAATGTATTGCACCCATAATTCTCACATGTTTGTAGGGACATAAAAGAATTTAAATAAAACTTCAAATATTTCTGAAGTCATTCAACATTTGACATTTAAAACTCGTATTTTGAATTTTTATTTCGAAAAAAAAACAAGGTCAAATAAAACCCTATAAAGTTAAAAAATAATCATTAATTAAAAATTGAAACCTCACGGTTTTATTAATTTTTTGGAATCAAAAATTTGCATAAAACCAAACGATACTGTTGAGAATATACCTGATACGTAAGTTGGGTTCGAAGTCAAATAAATTTTAATATTAATCAATTTGAGGAACCTACATTCGACGCGTGAACTGAATTTGACAAACTAGTTACAAACAGTTTTTGTACTAACTGAATAGATTATATAACTATTGGTAAAACTAGCTGTTGCCCGCGACTCCGGACGCGCGATATTAAAAAAAAAAACTTAATAAGTATATAAACTTAATAGCCTATGTGTTTCTCTAATCTATGTTCTACATATGTGCAAAATTGCATCAAGCTCCATTGAGCCGTTACGGAGATACCTTCAAACAGACACGCTTTTATCCATCCATCTAAACTTTCGCATTTATGTTAGTATGAAATAAGATGTATGAAATTAGAAAGATACGTTTTTTAAGCAAAGATGTCTTGTCACCGGGCAATTTGGTTTTCTAACTCAAAATCGATTTTCAAACAAAACTTCGTCACCCCTCCAACCTGAATACCGAATACCTAAATCGTTTGTTGTTGTGTAAGTCTGTAACACTATATCTGCGTACAGTATACACTTTCCCAACGAGCTCGTATCGTATTATTTACTTCGCAACCATCGTACGGTTTCTTTGACATCTATAAATATTTTTGGTAAAGTAATTTATATACCCAAAAAAGTAACTATTCATCGTTGTCACGTCAAGGACGAATCTACCATAAATAAAGTATGATTGGGCTTTAGTGAAGCACGCTGGTTCAGTACAGATTGGTTTATTTCACACATATCTTGGACCGGCTGTCGCCCGCGACTCAGTCCGCGCAAAATTAAAAAAAATAAAAAGTAGCCTATGTGTTCTTTCAGACTATGATCTACATCTATACCAAATTTCAGCGTGGTCCGTTCAACCGTTTCGGAGATACCTTCAAATAAAAATCCATCTATTCATCCATTCATCTAAACATTCGTATTTATTATATAATATTAGTAAGAAGTAAGATTTCATTTGCAATTTCAATTTGAATCACAATGTTTTCCATCATCGTAACAATTTATTGGGACAAAATGCAAGCCATTTAAACTTTATAGGAATAAGAGTAAAATATGCCTTTCAAGAATGTTTGAGTTAACGAATACATCTAAGACCTCATATTAAACTGTCAGTTGTTTGTCACTTCATTAGCTAATGTTAACGCCCTGGCAAGGTACGATGAATTCATTAGTACGTAACAGAAGTCTGTGCAAAAAGCGGGACCTGTCAAATTTAATACAAAAAATATGGACCGGTCGGAGGATACGAGAAATTTTAAAACATTAAAAATACACCTACTGGGCGTAACTTGTTTGCCTTTGTCAAAACAGACCCGTGAAGTTTTTTTAAGATCCTAATCACTCAGTAATCAACATTACTTACACACATTTCTTTTTAAATTAGACAATTCTCTTGTTTTTTTATATAAGAGAAGGGGGAAAACTAGCGGCAAGAATACTAAGGTGATCAACGACATCCATGGACATACACAACACCAGAGGAACTGCAGATGCGATGCCGGCCTTTAAGGAAATGGTATGCTCGTTTCTCTTGTGAACAAATGATGACAATATCTTTGATTTGATATATTAAAATATTCGGTGCATGGTGTCAAATTTTATATACTGGTTACCTTCCGTCAAAGTCCCGTCAAAAACTGCTCGGCCGTTCCAGAGATTATCCAGAACAAACGCAGCTTGACGGAAAGACAGACAGATATACAAAAATTCTGTTACTAATTTTATTCAGTACACAGTTCGACCAGTATCGCGTATTAGTAATACAATGATTCAGTCTCACTTACCTCGGTCCCATGAGAGCGACCAGCGTGCCGGGCTTTGCTATACCGCTCACTGTTGACAAACAAACAAATTCTTTAGTAATAATACCTTACCCCAGGATTCTACTGATAATGTTTACAACACATATTGTCATTCCTGAAGAGAGAGAGAGAGAGAGAGAGAGACAGAGAGAGAAAGAGAGATGTGCAAATGGAAAATCGGTCATCTTACTAATGCGAATGTTTAGATGAATAGATGTTTGTTAGGAGATATCCCCCGAACCTCTAAACGGATCTCGCTGTTTGGCATAGGTGTAGAATATAATCTGGAAGAACACATTTTGTGCTAATTAAGGTTTGTTTTTAATTTCGCGCGGACAGAATCGCGGGTGACAGCTAGTGTATTTTAAGATAAAAACGAAACAAATCCTTTTTGTCACAGGATTTATTTAAACCTTTTCTAGCTAAAAATACTTTGTGACGACTTGTCTTGAGTCCCAACCTTTATCATTATAAATATCTTTTAAAAGTGAACGTCGGAATCTTGTTTTGTTAATTAAGCTGCAGTCTCATACGTGGATTTAATATGTCCACAATTTAAATTAAGAAGCCGCTAGGTCCAGCGCCCGCTGAATACAATGAAAGGAAAAGAAATGTAACGATTATCGCCAAACCGCTTGCCAAATACATGTTCGCGGGATTTTCTTTTTTAAAACAGGCTTTTTAAAAAAAGAAATTTCATTCCAAACATGACTGGCGACTTTCGATTTAAAAAAAATATTTTTAAGCTGTTGTCAACGATAAGTTGTATAGATTTTGCCAAATGTTATTATTTTTGGTTATTTTTTCGCCCATGGTAACCTTTATCATATAAATTACCTCTTCTGAATGTTTATTGTGTAGTAAACGGTAAATTTTATTGACATTACCCTTATTGTAATAAAATTAATCTTAATGTTTTGTCAAACACGAATGCTGTTCTCGGATACAACGATATTGCTCCCAGATATGTGTTGATAATTATATTGTTTTTAAATGGCTACAATTTGCTTTGAAAAGGGTTCAGCTTTAAATTCAATTATGTAAGTAATATATTAATTAAAATAATGCTAAAATTATGTAATATATAAATAGGTATTAATTCGAGGCTAACAAGGCACATTTACTTTATTTGCAATTGCTATTAATAGCCAAAGGTAAATTAATTTACGATAGTCCTTGATTTTTTTTAAGTGTTTAAATATAAATTGATTTTAAATTCGATTGCTCTTTGTATAACGTAAACAATAAACGTAGTATACCGCGTCCACTAATTGCCTGAAATACTTTTAATCTTATTATTAAAGTCTGTAACAGTATATTTCTAATCCGGCTTTACTTTCCTTTAAAACTTCTATATACGGCAGACCTGCACAGAAGCTCAAACGTCTGCAATTTGTAGACATTCCTTTTTTATAATGATCAAAAGGTCATGATTTTATTGGAAAACGGGTGTACCACGTGCTTGCATCGTTTTAACTTTTCGTTGTTTTTCTCTGCTCGGCTCCTAAAGGCCATAGCGTGAGGTTTAATAAACTATAACCTACTATACTAAACGGACAATTTGATGTAATTTTTTTTTTAAATACTATTGGCAATTGTTGATGTTGTCGCGCTCAAAAAAGTCTTGTGTCATAATAAAAGTAACGTGCACAACATTTTTTTTTAATTTTGATAATTAGAGTTAGTATTGATTTTACTAATAAAAATTTTGTGCCACACTTAGAGAAGTTATGTGCAAGCAGTCCCTTAGTATATATTCCTTACTAGCTGTCGCCCGCGATTCAATCCGCGTGGAAATTATAAAAACTTAATAAGTTACCTATGTGTTCTTCTAGACTATGTTCTATATTTGTGCAAAAATTCATCAAAATTCGTTGAGCCTTACCGGAGATACCTTCAAACAAAAATCCATCCATCTAAACATTCGCATTTATAATATTAGTAAGAAGTAAGATATAATGCTAAGGCCCTTAACCTCCATTTAGAGATTGAGAGTGGCGTTAATATTGAAAATGCGACAATTATATACGAGTAATGACATTGACATGACTAACGGTAGCAGGCGGTGCTTCGTTCAATCAATATTGAAACCAGTAGCAGCCTAAAGTAATACAATATTACGTATCGAGTTTCGCATTTTTTTTTCAAACGTGGGAATCGCTGGGTACCATTTGTTTTGTTTTACTGTTCAACTTGATACGTTCTTATTTTAGTATCCATGTAATTTTATTTTACTTTTTATTATTCAATTAATTCATTTAAAGAATTTTAATATTAATTCTAAAGTTCACAAACAAAATAGTACGATTGTATTTGAATGCATACTGTTATTTTATGTTTAATTTAATTTTGGTTTCAATAAACGCCATTATTATAGGATTCTTTTACGTTTTAATTTCACTTTGCTATTATTTTTTATTATTCAATATTAATGGAACTATCCAGATTCTAGATTGATCTACTTATGTCAATCTAAACATAAAGATCCAAGGACATTCACACATAATATAGACCACAACAATAAGCCAATAAAAACCAACTGCGGCAGGCAAATCGTTGCGAATAAAATTCTACACGTGAATGATCAAAGTCGAATAGAAAAAAAAAATCAAAAGTTCAATAGCACATACCACATACGTAATAGCGTTATGGCGGGAAAAATCCGTACATTTTTCTTATGAAAAGCATATACGTTATCTCAGTATGTACTCGTAATCTGTTAATGTTTCCATCTAGATCTGTTCAGAAGTTATAGAGTTACTAAGTAACAAATATTCTTTCTTTAGTGTCTATTTTATTAGTAAAATGTACATATTTTTTATCCAAACAGTCTATACAAGTGACATATATTAATGACTCTCATGCTAATGGCTGAGACAAAGATATTTTATCGCAAATAACATTAAAAACATTGTATTTTAGTTGCCATCTTGGATTCGATACGTCGACTTTAGACTGAGTATATGTAAGTATCCGATCGTAAATTGAAAAATTTAAAGGTTATACATAATTATGTTAAAAAAAAATTAATCGAGTGAAAATGATAATTACATTGAAAAAGTGATGATAAATATTTATTTATATTATTCTATTTATACAAAAAAACTGTAATGTTTCTTTTTTATCATTAAAATAAAACCTGAGCTACATATAACATCAATACTGAAGTACGTGATATCTCTTACCGTGGGTTTCTGGGACGATAAGTTTTAAACAAAGATTATCGTCTCAGGAACTAACAGTTAGTCTATCAATTTGAAACTAACATTTTTAAACTTGTCAATAATAATTTCTACTTTTTTCAAGGTAAAATAACGGGATTTTACAGTTCGCTAGTGTTAATTGACAGTTTTTGTTGGTTCTTTAGTTGTAACGCGCTGTAATAAAGATTACAAAAAGCGGACGTTGAACGACATAATGAATGGATTGATATACGTATGTAGTTACTTTTAATTAATTTATATAAAGGTAATAATAATTATTTAGAATGACATTAGTAAGTCAAAAGATAAGAATTACAACTTATAGACTCTCATGTTAAATTTCGTATTTATGTAAATACTAGCAGTCGCCAACGACTCCGTCCACGCGGAATTAAAAAAATAATTAGTAGCCTACATGTTCTTCCAGACTTTATTCTAATTCTTTGCCAAATTTCAGCGAGATCAGCCGTTCCGGAGATACCTTCAAACATTTGTCCATCCATTTAAACATTCGCATTTATAATATTAGTATGATTATCCTATTCAGATTTCTTATTTCATTATGACACTGTTATTTTAATTACATTAATTTTCTTAGGGGGAACACTTGACAACTACAACCCCTAGACGTTATATTTAATGGTTAGACTAACCCTATACTTTATAGAATGTTTTCATAGCTTACCATTGTTAACAAGTCTCTTCAATTTGCCGTCTTTTAATTTGACGTGTACAGAGAGGTCCCGCCACACAAGCGTGCAGGGTCGCTGCGGCTGTGTGGACCCAAGCAACTCCTCCACCTCTTGAAATGGTGACCGTCCTCCTTTCGGAGGTGTGAATCTGCTCCCTATCTGTATAGTCTCCACGGGCTCCTGAAGAAGACAAGAAAATAATAACTGTAATATTTTTAATCATTTTAGTAGCATGTATTTGGAATCTTTTGCATTGTAGTTTAAACTTAAAGACATAAAACATAAGAATGTTTTATCAATACTTTGCTTTAAAACAAAACTAAGCTATTTATTTTAAAGAATCATGTTTTATTAATAAATATACGTATTAAGATCATACACTTATTACGGACACAAGAATTACTTTCTTAGTTGTTAATTCAAAAACTTCAATAAGGCCAACTGTATATCCCTTTAGTACTCCAAGTAACACGAATTGAATATTACCTCGCTCGACAAAATCGGTTTAACCATTTTGGCTATAAGTATATAAATCAGTTTTCGTCTTATATAGCTGTATACTTGTGTATACAATAGTTATATAAGACCAATAGGAATATGTTCATTCTATTGTTATCACGCAAAATAATTGTGACCAGTCCGTCAGGAAATAATACTAATGTTTGGTCCAAATGTTTGGGTGTATGTTTGTTAAAAGGTATACCCTAAATGGCTAAGGGGATATTGCTGAATAGATTACTAATAAAGATTTTTTATTCCGCGCGGACGGAGTTGCGGGCGATAGCTAGTATCTAATTAAATCAAGAAATAATACTATTTGTCAGTTTTAAAGAAAATTTATTTGGAGGATTTTAAAACAACCAACTTAATTACATATTAATAAAGCAGATTAAATCTGATTAAATATTATTACTGTTTGTACAAAAAAAACCGATTCAACTATTACTAAATGCACCGGCAACTTATCAATTTGAATATCTAAATATAAAAACATCTGATTCACTCATTTACTATTTAAATTTAAGCTTACCCACACATAACTATAATTTGAAACATTGGACATAATTGCTTTTTTTCAATAAACTAAACGCTTGATCACGTTGTCTCCTGATGTTCACTGTTGATGCAGTAGAAAGATGGTACGCGTTACTCTGGTAAGTCCTTTATCATTCTACTCTTTAAGCCTTGCGCAACATACATGGACAGGAACATTGACACCGACATTCCACTTATTTAAACACGCAATGAACTAGGAGCTACTTTTACAAACGAGGTAAGGACCTGCCGTCTAAACGTCCTATGGTCAAACCGCTACTGAATATCATATGGATATGAAAGTGAGGGTCGGCAGAGAAAGTTTACAGAAAGGACCTTGCACATTAAAAACACTCTTACCTTGTTTACAAGTTGCATATAATATTCTTGTTAAAGATTTTATTATATACTTACTGATCTTGACGATTAAAATATCCATTTAAAAACATTCGCGAAACTTCAAAATGAAAAGGAAACAGATCCGGTTTTTTCCGTTAACTAAATCACGTGGCGAAATATCAATACTACTAGCTGTTGCACGCGACTGCGTCCGCACAGAATTAAGAAAATAATACATAGCCTATGGGATACTTCAGACTACTTTCTACATCTATGCCGAATTAAATCGAGATCCATTGAGCTATTTTAGACATACCTTCTAACAAACTATCCATCTATCTCAACTTTCGTATTTATAATATTAGATTACCAGTATTTTCTATAATTCTTCACAAAAATTTATTCCTTATTTTGTTTAAATGAAAATTCAAATTCAGTTTCACAATGTATCAAACTAAAACACCAACAAAGACGAATCGCTGTTTCTTATAAAAATTTAATAACTATATTGTGCTAACACTAAAGTTTATTCAGCTTTATTTAAATCCTTCCACAAAATAGGTACCTACAGTCAGTTTGCAGGACCACAAACAACTTAAACAATACGGTTTTAAGGTCATCTTTTTTATATTTTTACTTTTCCTTAATATTTATCATGAAAATATTAAAGTACAAAACATAAAATTAAATCTTCTTGTTCATTGCAATTTCATTTAAAATCCTCGTACTATAAATGATAATAACGAATATTCAAAATATTGTTTGGTAATATTATATTTGCGTTACCACGTTCCTTGAAAAGCATAAGCAAAGAACAAGCTTATTGTTTGTTTTGCTGCATATGTAGATGTGAATTTTAACAACTTTATTATTCTATTTTACGCTTAATGTCATGACAATGATTAAATCTATGATATGGCATTTAAAATGCATCCTGTTTCGATTTAAATAATTAATCCAAGATACAAATTTTTATCATTCCTCCATCTTATTTGAATGTTCTCTTACAACCAACATGCTACTGGCAAAGAAGTCGCTAGATAAATTAAAAAATTAAAAAATCCTCTATTGAACTAAAATATTTTTTTACATTTTTAATAAAGGTCTGTCCTGTCTCCTGTGTTAGATATGCATAGATAATTTGTGATAATTAAGGTATAATCTAGCTAGATAAATTATAAATAATACGTAAATAAATCGCATTACCGATTCTAAGAAATATACACAATGCAACTTTTAATTTCAAAAATTGTCTACATTACTACATGTTTAAGACATAAAATATTTCTAAAAGGTTATTATTAGTAAAGATATTATGTAGCAATTTTTAAATATTAAACAGCTTTTAATGGCTGTATTAATACATCACAGGCCAGATTTTAATCAGAGAAATTGCAAAAAAGCATTGCAGATATAATTGCTTCCCAATTTAAGAATACTTGAGGCCCTTAAAATTACATCCCACGGGACGTATAACCTTATTTGAAGCCGGCTCGCGGCTTAAACGTTATCTTACACAGAATTGTATGTCTTTCTTTACCTTTTGTTTTGTCAATCATTGAAAAAAATCGATTTTCAAAAATTTTTCAATCACTTTTTTATTTTTTATACCATAAGGTGGCAAACGAGCGAGCGGCCATCTAAAATCACTGGAATAGCGAAGTGACCGTTTCCCATAGACATACGCAATTGCATATGCGTTGCCTACCTTTAATCGACGGAGGAGTGGATGCATAGAGAGAAAATATTTTCCCTTTCCACGCATCCTCTCATCCGGAAAGTCCACTTCCACTTCCCATCCTTTCCTTATAAGAAAAACGGTGGGAAGGGAAAGATGACTAAATTAGGGCTCCGGGACGCAAAAACGACGTTTTGTATTTAACATTTAACGATATTTCATGTACCTAATTCTATTTCGATATTATTATTCTGTAAATATCATTAATTAAATAGCTTAGAACATTCACAGAGGCGACTTTAGATTTAATTTTAATTACTTATTTTATAAATGTATTCCGTAAAATCTTAATTTGTATAAATTATAAAAGTGGCCTCGGATGTGTTTTGAATTTGACGGACTAGTCGATATTTTACGGCCCGACTATCAAACTATCGAACAGTTTTACCGGTGGAATAAATTTATACGCCCGACTTATGTGTAAGATAACCACAACCGAGAGTGGAAGATAACTAAATCAGGGGTCACCAACCAGTCGGTCGCAA